CCAGCAGCACCAATACACACAGCAGCACATCCAGTACCACCAGCACCAGCGCTCCCAGCAGCACATCCAGCTCTACAAAAAGTACCAGCCCACCCAGCAGCACATCCATTACCACCAGCAGCACAAATACACCCAGCAGCACATCCATTACCACCAGCAGCACCAGCACACCCAGCAGCACATCCAGTACCACAAACAGCACCAGCACACCCAGCAGCACCTCCAGGATCACCACAAAGCATGTTATCACAATTACAAAACCAACTGTGAAAACGTCTACCACACGCACCACAGAAGGTATTTACTTCATTCAGTTATGAATTGTTTGAATATAAGTCATCCCACTGTTTTTCATGTTCTACCTCATGAGTGCTGGTATTTTCTAATAATATTCTATTAAAATATTGAACTGCAGAGAATTATTTCAGGTTATCCTTGGCTAGTGGTTGGGGGAACATTGAATACATTTGCACAATAGTGCCACTCAATGGTAATCTGTGAATTGGTGCGCAATTTTAACTTACAGTGTAATCAGCCAATAACAAATGGTCAGCAACTCACTCAAACAAGCTTGGGGAAATCCAAAAATTATTTTGCTGAACAATGCCTCTTTGGAATAAAATAGGAAGGCAATAGAAGATTGGATGGTAGGCGGGCAGATCGCACTTTGTTTCCTAAAACTTTGTAAGAGTTCTTTTTATTTAAATTAGCAGCTTCTAGAGTGCCTGTCTTCTTTTCCAAAAGCAAATTTTGTTTCACTCAGAGGCATGTATGCAGCAAGTCCTTCATCGACCTCATTTTTCACATTTGCTTCCTTTATTACTGTGCACGATTAAGTAGTTTACGCTCTGTACTTCATCATGTCATCAATAAAGTAGTTTGTCCACCAATATCTCATTTGACCTCCATTATCCAGTTTGTCTTTTGTTGTTAAGTTTTCCTTTGTTGTAAGAGATATCTGCAGCTGTCAGTTCTGCTAAAATCTGAGGCTGGTTGGCTCGCCAAGCTGGTTTGTTGTTCTGCAGACGTTTCGTTACCGTGCTTGGTTACATCCTCAGTGCAGCCTCTGATGAGGCATTGGTGTGTTTTCCTGCCTGATTTTTAAACTCTGGGGTCCATTGCGATGGATTGCCTCGCTTCCGGGTTTCCTCCTTAGTGGAATGTATATGGGGTTGAGTTCAATGTGTTTATTAATAGCATGCTTCGTGGAGTGCCATGCTTCCAGGAATTCTCGTGCTTGTCTTTGCCTAGCCTGTCCCAGGATCTTGGTGTTGTCCCAGTCGAAGTGGTGGTTCTCCTTATCCATGTGGATTGAGATGAATGAGTATTGGTCGTGTCTTTTTGTAGCCAGTTGGTGTTCATGTACTC